CTGTTTAATAGCCCCTTCGTCCTCGGCTCCTTCGCCACAGCTGCCCCTCAAAAACCTCTTGCTGCATATGCCATCTTGACTTATGCAGTGATGTATCGTGCCTATAATAGACAAGCTGCTTTAGCTCTGTCTGGCGGCGTGCACGTGCGGGCTGAGATTTTTTTCCTTTTTGGACTACCTCTCCCAGAATGTCCCCGGCCACGGAATTCTGGGAGTTGTAGTCCACAATAGTGCCAGAAGAGGTAGCCAAAATGCAAACCTTTACCGGTTCGTGTAACTGTGTACTGAAAAAAAAATCTGTATCTGAGCGCTTTCACTCGGAACTAATGCTCCAACGATGGATAAGTGGGAGACTACAATTTACCCCTATAGAATATCTGCCATTAATTTTGAGAACGGAATGGATAGCATCACTCTGATTATGGGAAGTGTGCGTGAGATGACAATTGGGGGGGGGCTGCTCAGAAGTAAAACCCATTCCGTTCCATCGGGTTTACCCAAAAGAAGTTCATTTAGGGTTTCAGCTTTTGCTTTCGTGGCTCTAGACGCCTAGGATCTTTTATTGCTGCCTTGGAAAAAAACTAAAATAACTACATAAGGCATATTGAAAGCGCACGAAAAAAACAAAGGCTGCCTCCCTCCCAGTTTGTCAGCTTGGCTAAACTCTCCGACGCTACAAATCTCTTCCAGACATGTCATTGAGATTTAAAAAAAAACGGACCGGAAGTTGTCACTCTAATTCGTATGTCTATGTGTCCCGTTTCTCATTCGTGCCGGAAATAATCTGGCCAACGGAAGCCAGAGTGTAGGAAAGTGACTCTAGCAGGACCGGAAGGAGCGAGCCAGTGCGTTTCACTCTGGGCGGGCTGCTCCATTCGGTGAGGTGAGCGCGGCAGAGACCAAGTGCGGTTCTAGGAGGGGGTGTGTGACTGTCGGCGTGGAAGAGGCCGGCGAAGGCGAACCAAGGCGGGAGCGACATGGCAGCGCCGGTTGGGACCCTGGCGGGCGCTTCGCCGGAACCCCAGCCGCCGCCGCCCCCTGGGCCTTCCTCCTCCTCGGCCTCTCTG